TACGATATGACACATGATATATAAAAATGAAATGAACATCTTTTGTCTACTCCGTAATATTGGACAAAGTGCCTAGTTCTCACATTCAGACCTTCCCTCGATTTCAAATCGAAAGATTAAATTTAAGGTCTCGGCTTGTGGTCAGCCGAGGGACAAGCACCGGGAATTGGAATTCCTAACGCTGAACTAGCGGGATAGGAAGTGGCCAATAGGAAGTTCTGCCCCTTCGGCACCGGAGGTTGGCGGACGCCCTGCCGCATACAGGAAATGTATCCAACGGGCATGAATCGAAGTAGCAATGAGGAACGGAGCCGAATAACGGCGAACAGAACGGCAACTGCGACCTTTTGTCATGGATTGTTACGACACACATACATTTGGAGCTATGAAGTTACTTGCATATGGAGTGTCCTTGCGATAGGAAGATGTCACTGTAGTATATCGAGAAAATTAGAAAAAAATTTATTATTGAGTAAATTATGTTATCTTTACATTTTTATTTTCATAGATAATGTATTTTTTGTACTGATAATGAACTATTAAAATTATTCATTTTTGTTGATCTAAAATGAATGAATATCACGACAAATATATAGAAAGACAATTTTCTCTTATTTAAATGATTTATAATTTATATTTCATCTTTTCCATTTTGAATTGAATATTTTATATATAGTTCGATGCTTTTCACGATGTGAATTCACCGACTGATCTATTCACTTACATCTTTTTAGTTCCTTAAACTTAATCGTAGAAGTATTGAAATATCGAGCGACCAAAAGATATCCTTTCAAATACGTTAACTCGATATTACTTCCAAGAAATGAAATTGTAGTGATTCTTCTTAAAAACTAGCCAGCAATTCGTTGAAGCCTTTTCCCTACATAAAGATGAAAAATTCGCCGATGAAATAAGAAAGGAAAAAAAGAGAGTTCTCGCGTGATCAAGAAGCTTCTCGGTAATCATTAAACCGAAGAACGTTCTCGACAAAGCCGATGTCTGCCATTGGCACAGTCTGACGTTTCATCGGCGCTTCCGTGGTATTTCATTGAAAAATGCTCGGTTCTCTCTCGGGATGGTTACCGGAACGAATGCCCGGATTAAGACAGATAAAGGAGATCTTAGGATCTCCGTGATTTTTTGCGAGCTAACCGGAAGAAAGATCTGCGGCATGTTGGTCGATAGAAAAAAAATCCTTGAAAGATGTGCGAAATGAGAAATCAGTAGATCGATACCAAGAGAAAGGGTGAAGACAGTGAAACTGAAACGTAAAAGAAAAAGAGGGTATAAATAAAAAGATGAAAAAGGAGAGACGCTGTGAAGAAGTTGGAGGAATATTGGCGAAGAGGAGTGAGAGAAGGACTTGAAACTCAGTAAAGAATTGTAGGAGCAAGAGGGTGTAGACGAAGGGACAGTGGTACTCAAGGCAGCGGAAAGGAAGGGCGGAGTGAAGCGAAGAAGCTGTAAGTCGGTAGGCGGAGGGGGCGGTGATCGAGTGGGACGAATTGACAAATTCCACGACGATCCTGGAACACGGCCAGGACCGCGATTTCTATCGCGGTGGGCATCCCGACGACAAGCAGAAAAGGAAGGACGCGGGTCGGAAGGACGTTACGCCGATGCTTGGATTCGATTCGTATGATCGATAGCCATAATACTTGGGGAAACTTGGCAACGAAAAGTATTCATTCTATGTTATTCCTGTCATATTTTTGACACAGCCTTGGTGATTAAAGCATATTCTGACGATTTTCTCATAATTATGTCTTGTTATACGAAATAACAACTAGTTCAAATTTAATTTTAAATAAACTAGTGAATTAGTTTGGGCTCTGTGTGTATTATTAAATCAGTTTTGTTGAAATATAGGTCAACAGCTAAACGGATAGAAAATTGTAAATGTAAATAAAATATATATTATTAAACTAAATGAATGTTTTCAATAAAACAAATCAAGAATTTTAATAAAAATTTTACGAATTTTCTTAATTTAAAACAGAAATTATTTGCAAATAAAAAGTCATGCAAATTCGATAAGTTTATTGATTCCCATATTTGAAAACTTTATCAGCATAAATGTTTGATCAAAATTTACATCTGTTTACATGTATATGATGTATTGTATAAATTAAATAGAACGTACATTTAATCATTATTTTTAAATATATTTTTTCTTTTAATGTGCTAATCAATAACATTGCTTTCTTATATTATGAAACCAACAATCATTGTATGAATAATGGGAAAATATGTATATATGTATATTACAGAGTTGAGGCAAAATCAAGAGTTTTTGTTTTGCGAAAAGCTAAAAGCTCGTAAAAATATTTTACCCGATTAAAGCGAAAAACTTTTTTTAATTGGAAAGTGAAGCGTGGCAGGGCGTCAGAATAATATCGACACAATAAAGAAAAAGTAGCGGACCATGTTCTCAAAACATTACTGTCAAAACAAAGGAGCAATTTAGTGGCCATATTGTTGAATTAGGTTTCGTTATTAAACAAGCACGATAAACGAAAAAGAATCATAACAATCTATTTATTTTTAATGTCAAGGCTATGTTATATATTAAGATGTATTACAGCAAAACAGAAAAAGCAAAATTAAAAAGATGATTAATAAAATATATAAATTGAATTAAATTGAATAAAAGTTTTGTTGTACTATAATTAAATTCGTTATTTATGAATATTGTAAAGACTCGAATAAATATCAAAATTGATTATTATTTTTTAAAATGAATATTGTCAATTATATACGCAAATAATATAATATTATTTACAGTAAAATTATGATGATAGTAATAATAATAATAATAATTTATATATTTAAATATATAATCTAATATATTTTAAATACTAAACTTAGATATATCTATGCTTTAGCAACTCGCACATCGATTTGTATATTTTTTTCAATTGATTATTGAAAATTAAATATTGAAAACCGTAAATCTTAAATAAATTATTTAATTAAAAACATAATTATCAGATTGAAACGTTAATGTTTGTAAAAGTCATAGATGACAGAACATGAAAAGCACCAATATGGAATATTTTGCTAAAGACAAAGACGCTTTAATTTTATTTTAATCATATCTGCATATAAGTAAATAAAAGGGATATCGAAGCGCAGGGCATAGTAAGAGTCATTAATAAGTGCCGCCTAATTTCTCGAAAGCCTGGAGGCCTCAACCATTATTTGGGAAACGTAACTCGGTCGAAGAGCGATTAAACGGAGGCCACGAAAATACGTCAACCCGCAGCGGCTTGCATCTGACGGAAAACCTATAGACGGAACACAACCATTAATGAAATGACAAATGTGTTCTTGTCGACGAGAGACGCGCGCGCACATTCGTCGTACGAGCTTTCTATGGAAATCGAATATATTTAACACCACGATTTGCGGACCATTTAACTCGATCCGAAAAACTTTCGATGACTACTACAAGAAACATTCTTACCATCATGACGTCAATATGACGCAATTCGCAATTAAAGAAAAGAAAAACCAATTAAACTCGGAAATTCCATCTTTTCAAAAGAAAAAGATCTCTTTATTTTTAAAAATTAATAATATCAAATCGAAATTTTTGTGTAACAAAGATTATTTAATCTGTACTTTGCATACTATGAAAATTTTTGTTACTAAAAACTTATAAAAAATAATCTTGTTGTATTTTTATAAATTTGTTTTGTTTAAACAAATAAGTTTAAGAATTTTTGAATTATTATAAAAATCTTGATTGTCCTATACGTAGCTAAACATAAGTTTTTAATTCATTGAATAAACATCAACTAAAAATTGGGGAAGTTTAAATTTAATTAGTTTTTTCTTGGTTTTTTCAATTATTGCGTCTACGGATTACTTTCTCATTTAATCTCGTTTGATAAATTGAACAATAAGGTTTTAACTGAAGGATGTAATAACCGCGATGTAATTTCAGGAGAACTGCCAGCCGCTGTGCACGACGGGAACGGAGTTTCGAGAGCGTTCCTTAATCTTTGGCTGGTTCACTTGACGATGAGCTATGTCTTTACCAGATGACAGTATTAAGGTAAGCACAGCCGACAATAAAGTATGAAAAGTCATTAAATGTCCTTAATACTTTTGTTCTTTGAAAACAATTAACTATATATCATCAAATAAGTAACCATTTTATATATATTGTGATACCATTTTATTGTATGATACAAATATTGAATCAGTAGTTTATGTGTTACATATAACAAGTGTTGTAATCTTTGAACTTAACAATAGATTCTTTGACCATTTTGAAGAGAGACATTTATTTCTTTGATTTTGGTGAAATTCAATTTTAAAAATATTATATTTACGTAAGATGCGCGGTTGCAAGCTGTTATAACATATGCATACATAAAATTTGACTCACGTCAGTTTAATAAGTTTATCGATATTAGATTTATGATGTATTCTTTAAATAAATATCTCAAATATTTTTTTTTATATATCGTGCGCACGATAAATTATGCAAAAATGACCTAAGTAAATTTTTTACTTTCACATTTAAATGTTAAGTATGGAACGATAAAATTGTATCAATCAATAAAGAAATGAAAAATAACGAAAAGTTAACTTTTCCATTTAAAATTCTGGAATATAATGCGTGAAAAAGTATGAATGACCTCATAAGCTTTTAAAGTGGTTGAAAGTGGTTCTATAGATTGTTAAATAATCGTTCCCGATAATCCGCCGCAGCGAGATTGGCATCGAAATTCGTTTGAAAGTAGCGCGTAGCACATAGTGCTATGTTGAAAGTCGCTGCGACGTGCTCTTGCAATAAAATTACCGAACGCATTATTACGGTCGTCGGTAATTTCCTCTACAAGTTGAGTAGTTTTCATAATTATTAATATTATAAAATAGGCTTTAGGCAATAATCGATAATGCCGCCTTGAAAATCTTTGTTAGATGGTTACAATCCCTTCCGATCTAGTCGTGTTCATCGGCCCTGTTGTTTCTTTTGGACATATTCTCTGTGCTCTACGATGCAAACTGCTTTATTTTTCCTTACCCTCACGCTCTCGGTTTTCTTTTTTCTTGTAGCCGCCTAATCCGAGTTTCAAATGAGTTCTCAGAAAGCTCATCGACTTATAAGAAGCTCGCGCTAAGCGAGTTTCTAGGTTAACGCGAAATATACATCCTTCTACAAGAAAGAAGAAAAAGGAAGGGACCACCGTGGCTTCCTGGCAATACTGAATCCTTTATGCGATAGCGAATCGACCGAACATTATTTCGAAAAATTATGTTGTACAAGCAATAATAATATAAATGTAATACTTAATCATAATTGTTCTATTTACATTACATAACTTTTTATTTAAAAAAAAAGTTTTAAAATAAAAAATTAGTGATAAGGAGAATTATACAAATCTATATATCTTATGCTAATGTTGTCTTTTTGTATAGCATACCGATATACATAATTTATAATTTTTTTTTATAATTGCATTTTGGTCATTTTGCCTCTTTGAACAAGTTTAAACAAAGATCAAAATTTTGATTAAAGTTTTTCCTCTTTATACAATTTTTACAAATTAAAAATCAATATTAATAAGTCTTTATATCGATTCTATGTTGAATAGAATATATTTAATTGGCACATTAATAAAATTATGTGGTGGGATTGTCGGAAGTTATTGGAAATTTTATTATATCCATCGAGTTTCGTTAGTGGGTTTTTTTTCTTCTACATCGTATATCTAATTATATGACATACTAATTAAAACGTGACTAACTAGAGCTTATCAAAATCATATAATATCAAATCAGATAATGTTCTTTAAAACTATTATTAGAATATCAAACGTAGCATTTTATTAGTTTAAATAATTGCAAAATTTTGATTAATTTTTAAATAAAATATTTTGCGAAATTCATTCTAAAAAATGTATTCTACTTCATATAATTCTAACAGCTGGAAACGTGTAAGCGGCTTATTTCAAAAGTTACATAAATCCGATTAGGAAAGTTACTTTGAAGTAGGTCGTTAATTTATATTAGCGTGTCATCGCAATACTAAATGTTTTAAAAGCAGACTTAAACCAGATGTAAAAATAAATAGATCAGTTATAATGACTCACTTAAATGAAGTTTGTTCGTGTGAAAATTTATTCTGATGAGTAACTCTGTTTTTCCATTTGTTTTACATATATGAACTTTGTATTGTGTACATTAATATGAAAATTTATAAATTAAACTGACATTTATCATTTGATGACTTTGCCTTTATGTCAATTTCCAAATTAAAATTCAAATTAAAGTGTACACGTGCCACGTTATTTATAGAGTGTCTCACAATTATTTTTATTTCTATATAATTATCTTTTTATTTTATTCTGTATATGTAAGGAAATAATCGAAAGTTCTAATATATTAATTTTCTTGATGAAAAAATTGACTTATAAAATAGTATAAAAATAATTTACGGCTTAATATTTTAATATTTTATTTTTTAATAAATTATTACTTTAAAGTGCAATTTATTTCACATATATAAGCTGTTATATTTTAGATATAAAAATTAATTCATAATAATCAATTTACAATTATATTTATATTATTATACATGTATTATCTAAGCATACATGGAATCTCTTAAATTATTTTCTTCTTATAAAACTTAGAATATATTTTATTTTCATGTAAGAATCAACAGCGAAGCAAATTAAAATCGTGTCCATTTTAGATCTATTTACAACAACTAACTGTTTCAAAAAAATTTACTGTTTTATTGTCATTTACAGTATTTTGTTAGTTAGAATTCTTTTTGCGATAATACGTTGCGTTACAGAATCTTGTATAACTATTATTATAAATCCTTATCGTCCACACACCATCATTCACACACACACACACACACACACACACACACACACACACACACACACACACACACACACACACACACACACACACACACACACACACACTACTACTA